ATTCGGGTTATACACCTTTAGTAGGAATAGCAGATGTAATGTTGTGGTCTTCTCATTACATCCTATCAGGTGCTACATGATTTTGACATTCACATCGATCACTCAAAGTGCTGTCTGCTAGCTTCACCCCTGGGAAGTTTTTATTTTTTTCCTTTGTAATTAATAGTGTTTGGCGTGAAGGTACTTTAACACTATGTAAATGTCGTCAATGTCATCATCAAACTTCGAATTTATTTATTTGTTTATAGTAGTATGAACTCATGATTTTCTATTTTTTCAATGGGTTATAGTCCATTATTTTCATTATTTATTTTGATATTCGACTTGCTCCACATTTGGCCATTGGGAACCCCTTCACGATGGCTTCTGTGTCTGTTGACATGTCTCCATCCTTTTTTTGAGGACTTCCTTGCCTTTTGGCACATATGTTCTAGATTCCTCTTGTAATTCCCCCACCACAAACCTAGAATCAGCCATTTCTCTGAGTCCTGGTTCCTTTTTAGAAGCCAAGATCCGGATGTTAGGTGTGCTCGTTGCTTTTTGGGTTTTGCTGCCTACAGGCCCTCTCAGTGACAGGAGTTCGGTGTGTTTACAGTGTACAGGTGTCTATATACTCTAACACAGATGAGGGTCAATTCTAAGCAATGGAACCTGGGAGTGTCATTTTAGGCAATGTAGCATGTCAAGGTCGGGGTATGTCCAGGGGGCAGCCTCAGGAGAATGGAGCTATCAGAGTAATATTTTTGTAGAGCACAAAGTTTTCTTCTTTTTTTTTTTTAGCTGAGCCATCCTGCCACCTGTTGGCAGCTCAGCAGCAACTCAGCTCAGGCCGGGAATCAAACCGGCAACCCTGTTGCTCAGAGCTCACACTCTTGAGCGAGCTCTTAACCAACTGAGCCACTCGGCTGGCCCCAACATTTTCTTACCTGTTCATTAATTCGATTGTTTCAGTCACTCTGAAATAAAGCGAGTGTATTCTACAAAAGAAAACTGACGTTTCGAGATGTTAGTTACGCAGTCATTATTGGCTAAGCACAGACTAAATAAATCCGGGGCCTCCCAACTCCTAGCTCCAGGCTTTTCCTACTACAACAACGATGAGGACATGCGTCTCTCATTCTAATCGTGTGTCCTGAGAGAAGCTATGGCCCTGAGGATATTTTCTTCTTGAAGGGATCTCATATAACTCACGTATTCTGGAAAAGGCAACATATCTTCAGGAACCCCACCTTCTTCCTAGGAACACTTTTTGCTTAAAGTCCCTGGTGTCCTTCTAGGAGCTGTATTTCCTCCTGCTGTATTGTAAAAGAATGACAGGATATTTTAGGATATTGTAGGCATGAGAGGGGGCTGTCAATCATTTATTCATTTATCCACTTATCAATATATGGTGCTCGCATATTAAGTGCCATTCTAAATCTGTACTTACAGTGATGGAGAGATTCAGTACCTGTCCGTAAGGAATTCATCTTTACAACCTAGTGGAGGAAATAGAAATAAAATGAACAACTCAAATATTATAAAAATTATAGCAAAAGTACATATAAGTGGTAACAATATAAGCTTATTAACAGGCTGGTTCATTTGTCTTCGTTTGTATCTAGTACCAGACATAAGTCTTTGCTCTCTAAATGTTGAACAGAAGAGGAGCACTGGGAGAATAAATGTATATGTCTTCCTGGGAGAATCAGGGGATGTTTTCCTGGGGGTAGAGCTGACACCTGAAAGATTTTAGGAAACAGCATGTATAAGGGCATGCTGAAACGTAGTGTATTTGAGGAATTGCAAGTTATTGCTGTAATACGAAGTGTGAGGAGTGTGCAGATGAGGCTAGGCCAGTAGTCAGGGACCAGAACACCAATGTCCTTGTCCACCAAGCCAAGAAGTTTAGATTTTGTCCCATTGTGCAGTGAAGCATCCCTTAAGATTTATAGGGCTGGCCGAGTCGCTCAAGAGTTGCGAGCTCTGAGCAGCAACGGTTTGATTTTTGGCCCTAGCTGAGCTGCCCCTGAGCTGCCAGCAGGTGGCAGGATGGCTCAACTAAAAAAAAAAAAATTATAGTGTTCTCAGTTCCAGACACTTTAAAAATGAAGAAAATCAGAAAAGCAAGAAGACTAAGTAAATGATAATACTTGTACAGTGTAATTATTATTCTTTAATCCCTGATGAGGAAATTATACCTAAGAGAGCTTTTTTCTTTCCTTCTCATTCATTCAGCAGATATTCAGGCACTGGAGTCACAGTGGTAAACAAAATGAGAGCTTCCCTTCTTCTGAGGTGGTACGCCCCAGGTTGCTGCTAAAAAGAATGGGGCTAGACTTGAACACACATAATTTGACTCAGAAATCCCATGCTCTTTCTACTATACGAGAACTCTGCTTCACAGTCCGTAAAGACCAAGTGCATCAGTGAATGATGAAAATGTCATTGAATGTATTTTGCTTCACATATGCATGTAGCTCTAACCATTAGCCTTCCTTCCCGTACTGGTCCAGTCTGCTCAATTGTGATGTGGAGGAGGGAACTGAGAAAGGTGTAAATCGCATCCTTTGCGAATCCTGGGTATATTCCTTTCCCTTTAACTCGTCTCTCCTAGAATCTACTCCTTTAGTCTTTATAAAATAAATGTGACTAATGGAACTCTAAAACTTCATTTTTATAATTGAATAATATATGGGACTCGTTTTCAAATTTAAATTAAATGTCACAGAAATGTTTCTAGCAATTTAGGTATGGCTTTAATAGCTATTTATTCTATCTGTAGCAGTACCTTGATGATAATACTTTGGAAGCTATGGCCTTTCGGAAGAGCGCAAAGGAATTGTTGCAACTCGCAGCCAAAACATTAAAGAAATTGGGAGTGCGGTTCTGGCTGAGCAGTGGAACTTGTTTAGGTAAAATTCCTGTTGCGTCACGTTTGTCTTTGTGTCATTTCATCCTCTTTGGCTTTAGGGGTGACTGCTTGAGATGGATGACAAAGTATCAGTGATACTAGAAGTGTCATATTTATAGATAGAATAAACATAGTACATGGAGCAAGGATTTATTGATTTCTTTAAAGAAATTAATTTCAGAAACGTAAAAGTGAGTTAGGAATGCCATATTTGGGTTTACCAAAAGTTATAATTCAGGTGTGCAAAATTTATATCAGAACATGTAGACTGTACTTGATTCTAACGTAATCCTTAGTTAGCATTTTGTTATTTCTATCCCCAAGATTACTGTTGCCTTAAAAAAAAACAAAAAACTTTATTTCGTTTCTTTACTTATACATCATACAGATAACTGGCATTGTACCAAAAGTTTCTGTGAGAGGAAGATTGAAGGGAGTGTCAGAAAGCCTTCCCAGACCTTCTCCAGATCATGATTAGTATCACCGATGGCATGTCACTGCCTCACACATTCTGTTCATTCTGAGGTGGGGAAATGGAGACTTTTCTAGAAATGGAGACTTAGGCAAGTTGCCGTTTGATGCTGAGAAAGATTTCTGGATCTTTCTCCCATACATTAGATCAGACTTCTTTGGAATTTAGAATTATTTAGAATCTTAAATTTTGTTTTTATTCCCTCTTGTTTATAACTGTCGGTTATAACTGTGTTTGTTCTTTCTTAATGATAGCTGTATTTATACAAAAATTAATTCTGCTCCTGCTTTTATAGAGCTACCATATAATTTATTTTCTAATTCAAGAGACGTTTGAGAGTGAAAGGGAGTCCCATTACTAATTATGTTGGTACAACAGGCATAAACTGGGATATATGGTTATCCCATTAGGCTTTGTGGAAAATTCACACAGTTCTGCCAGTCAACGAGCTTACAGCTCGAGTAAGCCAAAACAATGCATCTCACACATTTATGTGATATATGCTTTAAGGTTTAACTTCTTGAAGCAAAATTGTTTTATAGACTGTGTCATCAGAAGTAGGTCTTAATCATTTGTCATGGTTTGTTTTGAGTTTTTAGCCCCATTGTTTTCTTGAGTTAAGGGCATTTAAAAATGAGGAAGTTAGATTAGATGATATTTAAGGAGGCTTCCACTTTTAATAGTTGATGATTCTTTGATAATTGTGGATTGTAGATTTTTCTCAAACTAGACATGAGACCCCATCATTCTAGGCTTCTAAAGATCCATGTTAAAATAAAATGAAAGTTTAGACTTCCAAACAGTATTGCCTGATAGTAATACCTATAAAGATAATCGCAGACATTTACTTACTTTTTTAATAATTTGGATGGAAGGCATAGAAGGATAATAGGAGAGACTCAGGAGCCCTTAGTAATATTAAGGTATAAATTTGGGTTTTCTTTTTTTACAACAGTACTATAGTACCTGATTGAGAAGTAGATACATAGCAAATACCTAGAAATATCTTTTGACAGTATGCTGACAATTGAGGTTGATACTGCTTTTCTTCCTTATATGACATGAGCTATTCAGAGCTGTTCAATTCTAGAAATTACTATTCAGGAAAGGGATATTGTTTAAGCAAAAGAATTAAATTATATTTTTAGCATATCTTAAATGCAGCCTTCATCATTAGAAGTTTCTGATTAAACATTCTCAAAAGTAACTTGATTTTTTTAAATGGATGGCCTAGTTAACATTATTAAA